GAACACGAAGTGGCCTACAGGTGGCTCCGGGCATTCAAAATGTGGCCCCGGAATGGTGTTCTGGGAACACGAAGAACACGAAGTGGCCTACAGGTGGCTCCGGGCATTCAAAATGTGGCCCCGGAACGGTGTTCTGGGAACACGAAGTGGCCTACAGTTGGCTCAGGGCATTAAAAAACATGCCCAGGAATGGAGTTCTGGGAACTCGAAGACCACGAAGTGTGTTACTGTTTGCTTACAACGAATTCCCCGGCATCCCCCTGGCATCCTCCCCCGGATCGCGCCCAGACCCCCCTGGGGCGTCATGATGCTTTCTCTTGACCCTACTAGAAACCTATCAGTCTTCGCTGCTAGATAAAAAACGGCCCGCCCTCCGTCCGTGAAGCTTTTACAACGATCAAGCGTCAAGGTCATACGTAGTGAAAAATCCTCCTCCTCCTCCTCCTCCTCCTCCTCCTCCTCCTCCTCCTCCTCCTCCTCCCTCCTCTTGGATCGAATGTTGGTGGGCCGCCGCCGCCGCCGCCGCCGCCGCCGCCGTCGCCGTCGCCGTCGCCGTCGCCGTCGCCGTCGCCGTCGCCGCCGTCGCCGTCGCCGGCGCCGTCGCCGTCGTCGTCGTCGTCGCCGCCGCCATCGTCGTCGTCGTCGTCGTCGTCGTCGTCGTCGTCGTCGCCGTAGCTGCTCGTCCTGCGTCAGGCGGAGAGCGGAGGAGCAGAGCGGCACGGCGCGAGGCCGAGGGCGCCGCCGCAGCCGAGCGGGCGGCGCGCCCGCGCCCCGTGCGCGCCGCCCGGGGCGGGCGTGCAGTGCGCCGCGGGGCGGCCGCTTCGCGCCGAAGGTCTCCCGCGGGGTGAGAGCGGCGCAGGGCGGCCGCGCGGCCTGGGGGCGGGCGACGGGGGCGGGTGCGGTGCGGCGTGTGCGGGCCGCGCGGGGCGCAGGGTGCGGGCGCCGCGGCGAGGGGCGAGCTGTGCAGGGGGCAGCGAGGGAGGCACGTGCAGAAGGGCAAAGGGCGTCCCGAGGCAAAGGGGGGGGAGGCAGGCACGGCGGATCCGAGGAGCCGGAGGAGAGGGGACGGGGAGGGCGGCCGCGGCGAGGGGGCGAGCTGTGCAGGGGGGGTGGGGGGTGGGGGGGGGGGGGCGCGAGGCGAGGCGGGGGGCGCAGGGGGGGCAGCGGGAAGTGGGCAGGGAGGCGTGAGGCAGCAGGAGGAAGAATGGGGGGATTGGGGGGGGGCGGCGGGCAGCAATGCGAGGAGTGGGACGGGGAGGACGGGGAGGGGGCGACGGGCGGTAGGGGGAGGAGTCTGGAGGCGGCAGGACGAGGAAGAGGACGGAGGGGAGGCGGGTGGGGAGGCAGGCAGGGTGCGGAAACAAGGGAAGGGGGGGAGGGGGTTAGGACACGGCGTGAAGAGGCTGTGGGGGTGAACGGCAACGGATGATGGGTGACATCTGGTGGCGCTGATGACGGCTTATGATGGCACTGCTGGCACTCATGGCAGTGATGGTGCTGCGGGCCATGCTTACCAATGCTCGTGGCGACGGTGATGATTATGACGGTCATGATTGAAGGCAAGGCCATCTGAGGATGATGCTGGCGAGGAAAGGTGCTATTGGGAATGCTGCGCCGTGGTCGGACATCGCATCTTGTTTTGGCAGGATGGCGCAAGGCTGATCGGAGATGCGGGCGCGCGTGGCGCGACCGCGGGTCGCCCCGTCATGGGGCGCGAGCCCTGGCACAGTGTGACGGGAGAGGTGCTGCGCCAGCGGATGGGCGGGCAACCTCGGGCTTGCACCGGCAACTATTCGTCGGCTGAACGGGATGGCGGCTCGAACCGGGCAAGCCACGTGGAATCTCGTCGCGAAAGATGATCGAACCAGGTTCGGAGCCATGCGCGAAGCAATAAAAGCTACTCCAAGATAAGAGGGGGACGAGCGTTTCATGCTGGGCTTCTTCGAAAAGATGACTTTGAACCCGTTTTGATACCAGTTCGAGCAACAGGAAATTTGCGGACGTCCTCTCAACATTGGCGTGTGCCTGGTTCGAAACAAGAAGGTAACAGCATTTCGGTAAATTTGGGCCAAACTTGCATTGCGCCCATGGGGAATGCCAGACCGCTCTCTGGAAGTGAAGACCTCGATCATTGCGTCTTCTGAGGAAGTAGCCGAGAGCCACGTCCTGTCCCTGCGCAGATCGCTCGTGGACGTGAAGGCGAATCACGGCGCGATCTCCATGCATGGCTACGTGCACCCGTAACCACGCTGCACAAGGCACAACAAATTCCATGGTGCCGTGACCGAAAAACGCAGGGTAAGTCGGAGATGCGGGCACGCGTGGCGCGACCGCGGGTCGCCCCGATAGGGACGCGGACCCTGGCACGGTGTGACGGCGGAGATGCTGCGCCAGGGGGGGGGCGGGCAGCCTCGGGCTGGTACCAGCAGTTCGTGTGTCATTGCGCTCAATTGGAAGGCGGCTCGAACCAAGCGAAAAGCGTGGAACTTCCTCGCGGCACATGCTCTAACCAATTTCGGAACCCTGCCCGAAGCAACAGAAGCCGGTTCGAAACAAAAAGGGGACGAGCGTTCCGTGCCGGAGTTTCTCGAACAGATGTCGTGGAACCTGGTTCGAAACCGAATCGAAACGAGCAACTTGCGCGGGACATACACTGAAAATGGTTGCCCTCGTCGAAACAATATTGTGATCAGTGCTTCGGCAAAGTTGCGCAAGCCTCTCATCACGACCATGTAAGCACGAGGCATCAGGAAATGGGGGAGTGGGAGGAGGATGGGGGAGCAGCAGAAGCAGCATCAGTCATAACGTAGCATCAACACAAATGGTAAGAGGGAAGTGGAGGAGGAACATCGGGATGAAGAGGAGGCGTCGGTGGGAGACAACATGAACACTGAATCGATGCGTGGATGTACACGCATATGTGTACACAGAGGGAAGCGTCCACGAGTGCGGGTGTAATCTGTTGATGCATGCACGCGTAACGAATTGCATGGCCACGCGTCATAGCGAATCTTGTAGGTGGATGAACAGGCTGCGGGCTCACACGCGAGTCTGGCCATCGCTCGGACGTCCATTTCCTGTGTTTTTTTGTTGGTTTCGTGCGTGGTTTTTCGCCAAATGATCAAGAATGCTCCTCGATGGTCCTCGCCGAAGGAAAAATGCACACGTCCGAGCGATGCCAAGGAGTAGCACCATGCGTGTCGGAGCATGTGCAGCTGCGTACGTCCATGGAGGCCGAAGGAGGCCGAGGATCGGCTACACACAAGGAGTGGCCCCAGGCAAGCGGTAGGCGTGACCTTTGGTGCGTGACTTGCCGATCGTTGCTGCGGGTTTGCCCCAGGGAGCCGCGCACGAGAGGTCACTCCATCGACAGGGTCACTCTTGCGCGCTGTCGAAGAACAAGACAGGCAGCGACGGCCCCCGACTCCACGCGAGGGCGTGGTGAGGCGCAAGCACGCCTTTGACGGCTCAGGGCCCGAAACAGGTCCTCGGGACCAGAACTCGAGGACATACCTCCGACGCGTTTTTTGTTCTTCCCCTCCCGGCAAGCCCACTGGAGGTCCCCTGGGGATCTCCTGATGCCTTCGCGGACAACTCTGGATCCCCCCGAACCCGATAAGGGCAGCAGACACATTCTGACTTGTCCCCCCCTCCCTCCCCTTGCTTGGGCGAGTTCGCCTGGGCGAGTTGGGGGCCGAGGTCGTGGGGAGGCGGCGAGGCGTTCCCTCATTCGCCCCCGCCGTCTTGCTCCTCCTCGTCCTGCTCCTCCTCCTCCTCCTCCTCCTCCTGGTCCTCCTCCTCCTCCTCCTCCTCCTCCTCCTCCTCCTCCTCCTCCACCTCCTTCCGCGTCGCCCGACGCGCGCAATGCCGAGTCGATCCGATCCGATCCTTCACCTCCTTCCCGATCCTCCTCCGTCCTCCCTCCTCCCTCCTCACCCCTCTTCTTTATCCTCGTCCTTCCCCTTCTGCTCGGAGCTCGGAGCTGGTGGCATACATTTCTCACTCAGGGCGCTGCCTTCCCCTACCCGAGAGGCCGTTGCCGCTGGGCGGGGTTGATTGAACTAGGGTGCCTGTAAGGGTGCCCGTAATAATAATAATAATAATAACAATAATAATAATAATAATAATAATAATAATAATAAGTGTAGGACGCGCGGGACCGAGGGGGACCCTCCAAGGGGCGGGGTAACCATGTCCCCCAGCGGCCCCTGGACGGGGGCACGGTGAGCGGAAAGCTGGGACGGCGGGGCGACACTGCGACCCTCCTGCTCCTCCTCCGCCTCCTCCTCCTCCTCCTCCTCTTCCTCCTCCTCCTCCTCCTCCTCCTCCTCCTCCTCCTCCTCCTCCTCCCCTCATGCTCCCTCCCAACTCCTCCTCCTCCTCCTCCTCCCCTCCTCCTCCTCCTCCTCCTCCTCCTCCTCCTCCTCCTCCTCCTGCTCCTCCTCTCCTCCTCGCTCCCCCTCCTCCTGCTCTTCTCTTCTCTTCTCTTCTCTTCTCTCTCTTCTCTTCTCTTCTCTTCTCTTCTCGTCTCTCTCGTCTATCTTCTCTTCTCTTCTCTCTCTCTCTTCTCTCTCCTCTTCTCTTCTCTATCTCTTCTCTTCTCTTCTCTTCTCTTCTCTTCTCTTCTCTTCTCTTCTACTTCTCTTCTCTTCTCTCTTATCTTCTATTCTCTTCTCTTCTCTTCTCTTCTCTTCTCTTCTCTCTTCTCTTCTCTTCTCTTCTCTTCTCTTCTCTTCTCTTCTCTTCTCTTCTCTTCTCTTCTCTTCTCTTCTCTTCTCTTCTCTTCTCTTCTTCTCTCTCTCTCCTCCTCGTCTCGTTATCTTCCTCCTCCTCCTCCTCCTCCTCTTCCTCCTCCTCCTCCTCCTCCTCTTCGTTCTCCTCCTCTTCCTCCTCCTCCTCCTCCTCCTCCTCCTCCTCCTCTTCCCATCCATCCCCTTTCCCTCCGGCGGTGGATGCCGACCTCCTCCCTCCTTCCTTTGGGCGGGCGGCGCCGCGCCGGGTCACCCGGCGCGCAGCGCCAGCGCGGCCGCCAGCATGGCCGCCGCCGCCAGGGCCTGGGCGCACGGGGGGGGGGCTGCTCCCTCGTCCAGGAAGTGGGGGGGGGGGGAAGAATGGGGGGGAGAATGAGGGAGGGAGGGAGGGAGGGAGGGAGGGCGAGACGGAGGAGGTATAGGAGGAGGCATCGGAGGAGCCAGGAGGAGCGAGGAGGAGGAGGAGGACGAGGAGGGGAGGAGGAGGAGGAGGAAAAGGAGGAGGAAGAGGAGGAGAGAGAGGAGGACGATGGGAGGAGGAGGAGCAGGAGGAGGAGGAGGAGGAGGGAGGAGGAGCGAGGAGGAGGAGGAGGAGGAGGACGAGGAGGAGTAGGAGTGGGAGGTGTAGGAGGAGCCAGAGGGGGAGCGATGATGATGCTGATGATGCTGATGCTGATGATGAGGAGGAAGAGGAGGAGAAGGAGGAGGTGGTGTAGGAGGAGGCAGGGGAGGAGCGAGGATGAGGATGAGGATGAGGATGAGGATGAGGATGAGGATGATGATGATGATGATGATGATGATGATGATGATGATGATGATGATGCTGACGATGACGAAGATGGGATGAGGAGGGATGGCAACGTCCGACGAACTTTCATGCCTTCAATGCTTGATTGTTCAAGTTCAGGAGAGGGAACAGGGCGGAACGATGAGGATGAGGATGATGACAGGAAGGGTGAGGAGGATGAGCAGGATGAGCAGGATGATGATGATACTGATGATGATGATGATGATGATGATGCTGATGAGGATGGTGATGACAATGTTGATGCTGCTGATGATGATAATGCTGATGGTGATGATGATGATGACGATGCTGATGATGATGCGTATGATGATGATGACGACGACGACGACGACGATGATGATGATGATGATGATGATGATGATGATGATGATGATGATGATGATGATGATGATGATGAGGAGCGAAGGAGGACCAGCATGATGCGCCACGATGCTGCGATACACCATCCCGTCCCAAGTCCCCTCTTCACGCGTCCTTGCAAGTATTCCTTTCCTCTGCGAGAAGCGCCTCCTTTGAATGACGCGCGCCTGGAGGGCCTGCAATTCAGGCGAGACCACATTGTGTAACATATCCGCCCTCTATCCTTCACAAGCCCAGGGTTCGATAGGGACTGGGTTCCCCCCAAGAACGACGAACACCCTTCCAAAATCCTCCCGAAACCCTCCGAAACGCCTCCCCGAACTCTTCCCGGATCTTTCTCGGAGGGTTTCGGGAGGATTTCGGCTGTTTGGAAGAGAAACCAGTCCCTAGCGAACCCTGGACTTTCTGACTCCATCCTTCTCATCTTTATGTTCATGCAACCCGACAGGCCGTCCGACGATAGTCCCGTTTTGAAGAGGGTTTGCCCTCCGTCCGCGTCACTGTTACACGGGTTCAGAATCCTGGACGTACGAGCTACTGGCATCTGCAACGAGAGCCCTGCTTCTGAAAAGTAGCCGCCCTCCATCCGTGTGTCTGATGCACAACTTGAGACTGCGGGTCATGGAACTCGAGCGAGTCCAGGCGGGAACCGCATTTTGAAAACGTACGGCCCTCCATCCGTATGGTCGGACCTAGGATATCAGAGTGAGGGGGGCCGAACGGTCATTCATTGTCCCTGAGAGCGCGGCTGAAGTGAGAATCCGTGGTGAGGATTCTGCTTATTGCGTTGTTGTTGTTGGTTGTTGGTTGTTGGTTGTTGGTTGCTGGTTGCTGGTTGCTGTTGTTGCTGTTGCTGTTGTTGCTGTTGTTGTTGTTGTTGTTGTTGTTGTTGTTGTTGTTGTTTGTTGTCGTCGTCCCCCCCGCGACCTCACCGCAGCCCACCCCGCGACCCACCCCGCGACCCACCCCGCGACGCACCCCGTGACCCACCCGCGACCCAACCCGCGACCCACCCGCGACCCAACCCACGACCCACCCGCGACCCACCCGCGACCCACCCGCGACCCACCCCGCGACCCATCCGCGACCAACCCCGCGACCCATCCGCGACCCACCCGCGACCCATCCGCGACCCACCCGCGACCCACCCGCGACCCACCCCGCGACCCACCCGGGACCCATCCGCGACCCACCCGCGACGCGACCGATCCGCATTGGTTTAAAGAAAACATCGGCGCCTGCGGCGGGCTCGGTGTATAATTTGTGAAACTTTGGCGCCTGCGGCGGGCGTCTCTAAAGTCTCGCAGGCTGCCGACGTCCCCACCGCCCCCTCACTCTTACCCGTATCTGCGGGGTGCTACGTAATAACATCCTTCAAGCACATGGGAACCTCCGCCGGCAAACACACGCACACACAGAACATCCAAGGGGATGCACGAGATCATCCAACAAACACGAAAAACCCTAGGGCACCCTTCCCGAATCGACCTCGATCTCATACCTCGGTCCGGCCGTGTAACACTTGGGCATTTTTTCCCCAACGGCAGCGGGAGGCGAGCGTGGTGCCCCTGCGGTTGCTCCTCGAAGCGTGCCGCGGAGGATGCGTGACACAGGAAGGAGAAGCAGAGCCGAGGAGGGCGCGGACAAGAAAGGCCCAAGCGTGGTGTGCGGGAGCTCCATACGGCCAGACCTGGGGCAGAACAGCGCCCTCCAGGAACACGAGAGACCCTCCGCAGGTCAAACGGACGAACCTTCGAGGGTGCCCTCCCCAAGGATGCACGAGAACATCCAACAAGCACGAAGACCATTAGGGTACCCTCCCTGAGCTGACTTCGATGTCATACCTCGGCCCGACCGTATCCCGCGCGGTCACATGATCTAAGCCGCACAAGGGCAGCCATGGGGGCGACGAGGGCGACCGGGGGAGGGAGGACGCAGGCAACGAGGGGCAACGAGAGTTGAGCAGGGACCGACCGTCCCTGCATTCCTAAAGGCCTACAACTGGCCATCGCTCGGACGTGCATTCCCTGTGTTCTTTTCGCTTTCGTGCGTGTTTTTTTCGCCAAATGATCAAGGATGCTCCTCGATGGTCCTCGCCGAAGGAAAAATGCACACGTCCGAGCGATGCCAAGACAAAACAATTTTCTCAGAACCCAGCAAAGTTCGAAAAACACAAACAAGAACATTAACCCGATGTATTCAACCAAGACAGTCTCGGCAAGACCTGTTCTGAGAACAGTTCGTGCAAACCACAAAGAGGGTTCTTAGAACATTCTTCGGCGGGCCTATAGGCACGCCAGGACGCTCCGCCACTGCTTGAGAGAGGGGGGAAAGGCAGCCAGGCGAAGGTCCGCAGGAGTCAGAGCTCGCACGTGCGTGCGTGGAGGAAATGCCTGCCGAGCAGCGTCGGAGAGGCGCCGGCCCCGCACGCCCGCGCAGAAACCTGGCGTGGACGCTCCGGAGCAGGGCTGCCCGCCAGGATTGAGTGCCCCAGCCGCACGGGCAAGCACAACGTGCTGCGGTTGCCCGTGCCGCGCGGGAGAACGAGGGAGAGCATGGGACGAGCGCAGACGACGTGGGAGCAACGCGAGAAGAGAGAGAGAGAGAGAGAGAGACACACACCGCGGTGATGTGCGCAGGGGACCTCCGTGCCAAACCAGAGGCACCAGACCCGGAAGGTCGGCGTAAGGTGCAACAGGCCAGAGCAGACCAGCCAACTGCGATGGAGCACTCCCAATGCCTGCCGGAAGCGTCAGAACGACTGTGCGCCGGGGTGCAGCGGGAATCGCTTTTCGAGAACGGCCAGCCCTCCCTCCGTGTCACCGTCGGGAGCCTTCGACACGACAGTCTGCGGCGCTGGGGCGAGAAGCACCTTTTGACAACTGCGGGCCCTCCATCGGTGCAGCGGTAGGAGCCTTGTCGCTGCAGGGCGACCGTTGAGTTATGTGGAGTTCTCAAGCGAGACGCCCGGCCAGGCTCACGGGCACGTCTTTATGGTACAGTCGGACCTCGGCCAGAACAACACCCTCCAGGAACATGATACCCTCCGCTGGCCAACACACGCACACAAATAACATCCAGAGGTGCCCTCCACAGAATGGACGAGAACATCCAACAAGCACGGAAAACATCAGGGCACCCTCCACGAACCGAGCTCGACTTTATACCTCGGTCCGACTGTAGAAACAAGTGAAGGAGGAGGATGTGGAGGAGCAGGAGCGAGGAGAAACGAGGCGGATGATGATGATGATGAGGAGGAGGAGAACCAAGGATGACATAGGAGGAGGCAGAGGAGGAAGGAGGCACGAGGAAGAGGAGCGAGCAGGAGCGGGCAGGAGCGAGGATGAACACGAGGGAGCAGGAGAAGGAGCAGCGGAGGAGGGCGAGGAGAAGGAGGACTTCGAGGGAGGAGGAGGAGAAAGAGGGGGGGGAGTAAGAGAACAACGAGGGAATATTAGGAGGATGAGAAGGGAGGATGAGGCGGCGAAGGAGGAGTAGAAAGAGGAGGAGGCGGAGGAGGAGCGAGGAGGAGGATCCTGAGGACAAAGACGAGGTGGAGAGAGGCGGGAGCACGAGGGAACGAAAGGCGGTGTGAGGATGACGATAGGGGGGGGTGGAGGTGAAGGAGGAGGAGGCGGAGGAGAAAGATGAGGAGTAGGACGATGATGAGGATGAGGATGAGGAGGACGAGGAGAAGGAGGATGAGGAGGACGAGGAGGAGGATGAAGATGCTCTTGATGGTGCGAGAACGCCTTGTCACGTCCTTCCGCTTCGCGGGCCTGGAGCATTTACAGTGATTCAGGGCACGCATTGGATAGCTGGCCATGAGCAGCCCCGACCTGCAGGTGTCGCGGAACAACAACTCTGACGGGCGTTTCATCACAGTGCGCTGGTTGTCATAATTTCAGCGATGCTGCCATCATGTTTCGTTTGTGATCTCAGCCTCCTGGGGCTGATCGTTCGGCTTTAAGCAAGCGGGTACTCAAGGAAACAGGTCCTGGACCCCAGGGCCTCTCCGAAGACCAACTCTTCATCCCGAGTCGTTTTGCTCACGGCCAGGGGGGCCGTGGATGGCCCAAGGCGCCCCACAATCTTGGAAAGAGAGGAGCAGCAAAACTGCATGAACACAATCTTCTGACGGTCCACGCGAATTTCTTGGATCCGCGCTGGGCCCCCCTCCTTGGCGCGCTCCGCGCGCCAGGGGCGGCGCAGGAGGCGCCGCCGGGGGGCTCCAGCGCAGATCCAAGAAATCCGCGCGGAGCGCCAAAAGATCATGTTTATAGCGCTTTTTCTTCGAAGAAAAGCCTCAGGATCCGTTTCCCTCTGGACCCCTGTGCTCCAGGCCGAATCTCGGGCCTCCGTGCCATCGAAAAACGACCCAGAGTGAAAAGCCTGTCCCCCAAGGGACGGGGGCCGAGAGCTCCCTGCCGGTTGGGGGGGGGGCCACGCCGTGCATCAAAAGCAGAGCACCGCGACACCGCTGGAGGTCCGGGAAGGTCTGCCCTTGGCGGCCGTGGCTTCGCTGCGCCAGCGCGTCGGCGGCACGCCAGGGGGAGTGGGGCTGGGGTGGTACGATGCAACTCTTGTGCTGCCTTAAAAAAAACGCTCTAGACATCAACTTTTGGCGCTCCGCGTGGATTTCTTGGATCTGCGCTGGACCTCCCTCCCTGGCGCGCGGAACGCGCCAGGGGCAGCGCCGGAGGCGCCGCCGGGGGGCCCAGCGCGGATCCAAGAAGTCCGCGCGGAGCGCCAACAATTTAATCTTTTATGGTGCATTTTCTTCTTCGGGCCATCCTCCGGCCTTCTGCGGGGGTGTTCTGTGTCCCCTCGGGGAAGGCTTTGAAAACGTTTCAGAAGGCGGGGGGACTTCCGGGTCTTCTGAGAAGGCCTTCTCCTTCTCACTTTCCCCCCTCGCTCGCCGCCGATCCTAGGTGGGGTCCGAGTAGGTGGGGTCGAAGGATCGCGCCGCATCTCCAATGCATCGGCGATGCATCGGCGAAGTCGGCGTGGAGAAGATCGGGCTCCCCGGCGCGATCCTCCGACCCCATCTGCTCGGACCCCACCTGGGAGGCCCAGGCAAGTGCAGCACCCCTGCTCAGAGTTCAGAACATTTCGAGCCAAGGAACTGCACTTTCACTCGAAAGCTCTCCTGCAGCAGTGCTCCAGGCGCACATGCACGGGCGGTCCACGGGAGAGGGAGCCCCGAGGGAGCGCCCGGGGGCCCGGTTTCGTGCGCGACATCTGGAGCCCATGAAGGTCGAGGCGTTTCCTTACGATGCCGGATGGGTGTACGGAGGAGGAGGAGGAGGAGGAGGAGGAGGAGGAGGAGGAGGAGAGGAGGAGGAGGAGGGAGGAGGAGGAGGAGGAGGAGGAGGAGGAGGTAGGAGGAGGAGGAGCGAGGAGGAGGAGGGAGGAGGAGGAGGAGAAGAGGAGGGGGAGGAGGGAGGAGGGAGGGGTGTTTCCTTTCGGGAGCGGCCAAGAGGGGGGTGTCCAAGGAGGGGGGGGGGGTGCAACTCATGACCGGCGGCACGTGCGCGGCCCAGCGGGGGGGCCTGGGACGTAATGACATACGAGGAGGCGCCATGAAATCTGAGGAAAAATCATGGCCCGCGCCATGAAATCCCCCCCCCCTCTTTTCCGCTCCCGATCTCTGGCCACCTCGGGCCTCGGCCCCGAGCTACCGCACCGGAACTCCGAGGCGAATCCGGCCGCGGCGGCCAGGGCCTCCCGGGAGGCCCCCCAAGAAGGGAGCACGAGGGAAGGGTGGCGGCATGGATACGTTCCCCCCCCCCCCTTGAGGCAATGCCCCCTCCCCAGCGTTGCACCCGATGGGTCAGGGGCAACGATAAGGGGGTAGGCATAAGGGGGGGGGATGCATCGACCCCCGATCGCCCATTGATGGCCGATAGGGGCCCGATAGGCCCACCCCGCACAGGAATGTGTGGATCTGCTATCGGGGGTCTATCGCCGATCTGCCGGCGAAGTATCGCCGATTTTGCGTCAATGTTCCCCCCCTATGCCAATCCCACCCTACCTGTCGGTCGGAAGAAGTGGGTGGACACATGAAGTAGCGATGCGTTGAAGTGGATTGGGCTTCCGCCCGTCCCCTGAAGAGGGGGGAAGAAGGAAAACCGCTCGATTCTTGAAGTTGGAAGGCGCTTGAAGTAGATTGGGATCTGGGAACCCACAGCACCTGCTCTCAACGACCGACGCGCATCGTTGCCCCCCGTGGGGCGAGGGAGGGCCGTCTTCCAGGAGGGCCCCGCGGCCTCGCTCGTAGGCCACGCCCGCGCTCTCTGAAAGGCAGCTCTGCCCCGAGGCCACCCGGGAGGGGGAGGAGGGCCTGCCAGAGGGGGAGGATGAGGAGGATGAGGAGGATGATGATGATGATGATGATGATGAGGAGGAGGAGGAGGAGGAGGAGGAGGAGGAGGAGGAGGAGGGCCTGCCGGAGGGCCCCCCCCCCTCGCCCCGCCTGGCCCCGCCCCAAGACGAAGGTCAGGACGAGGATAAATCATGATGAATCATCGAACCTGTCCTCGCCCTGGCCCCGTCCGGCACCCCCTCTGGCGCGCCGCCAGGTGTGCCGGAGTCCGTGAAGTGGCGACGGGCCAGGTCGGACGCATGGGGGAGGGCGAAGGCCGAGGCATCCAACGACTCGAACGACATTGAGGCGCAGGTCTTTCGTAGTTCTCAGCCCCTGGAGGCCCTCGACGGGCCTCAGGACCGTCAACAAAACGACTCGGGATGATAACCTGGTCCCCGGAAAGCGGTCGTCAGGTCGTGGTCGTCTGGCGTCTCGACAAAATCGAGACGCCAGATGTCTGGGGTGGCGGGGGGAGTTCGCGGGCCAGCTCACGCAGCTGGTCCTCACGGCGCCTCCCGGCGCTTATGGAGGCGCCAGGGTATATCTAGGAAGGGAGCCTTATCGGCGAGGCCAAGCCGAGAGCAGCTGCATGCATCACAGCGTATCGAGGAGGAGGAGGAGGAGGAGGAGGAGGAGGAGGAGGAGGAGGAGGAGGAGGAGGAGGAGGAGGAGGA